GGAGTCAGTTTTACGTTTTAGCTTTGACGGGGGGTCTAGTGAAAAAAGCACACACCCGTTATCAGACTTAAAGGACACTTTTACAGATGGGCAAAAGAAAGAACTACAGTTTTAACATTATGAGTAAGAACTTTAAAAACTAGAGAATTTAGCAAGAAAGCATTCAGCATCTCCCAGAGAGGGACTTTCCCACTGCACCTATATTGCTTTTTCTTTAAAAATACAAAAATATGTTCTGCTAGCTGGGGACCCATATCCCACAAGCACCAAAGCACACTCAGTGGCACCGACTTGGCTTGAAAGTCAAGAGAAATCCAAGATCAAAGAAATCATCCAAACTCCTGAGCAGCACTTTGCCTTTGCACCTCGATATCCACATTTATTACTGTGAAGTAAAGAATTTTACCCACTCACCTGAGGCTTTATCCCCTTTAGTCTGGAAGCATCCTGCCACTGCACGAGTTCCTGGGCCCACGAAAACCATGAGGAAATACTCTGCCCAGAGCCGGAAGAAGTGAAACCGAAATTGGGGCCAGGCGCGGCGTGGGAAGCGGGACGAGCGGCCGGGCCGGCTCCGGGACGGGGAGGGGCGGCGGCCCCGACAGCCGCGGGACGGGCGGCCCCGGAGCCCCGCGGCCCGGGAGCCCCGCAGCCCCGGAGCCCCGCGGCCCCGGAGCCCCGCGGCCCCGGAGCCCCGCAGCCCCTGCCCCCCCTGGCGCACCCAGCTGCCCGGGGCTGAAAGGTTTCGGAGGTGCCAAAGGTGGAGGTGGCTCAGAGTTGCGCTGCCACTTGGGATGGCTGACAGAAACCGATTTAAGCGCACAGACGTGTCACAGATGAGCACCAGCAGCATCACGCAATCCTGCTTGAAACTCGATTACAATTTATTCCTGGCTGTTTCCAGTGTCTCTGAAAATCCTCGTGGACATACCCCAAAAGCAGATACCCTGAACAACAGATTACTGACAGAGGAATATTACTTTTTTAATGTAGAAACAAATAACCAATGGTACCTACAGAGCCATGTAAAATATTCCTTTTTAAAAGAGAATTTGTTTATGTGAGAGAGTAATATATTTCATTTTTAAGAGGGATAATCAAATATTTTTTATCTTAAAAAAAATGTTTTTAAAAGTCCAAATAAAAGTTTCAGTTACAGCTTTTCATACTGTCTTTTTCATACTGTTTATGAATTCCTGTGTTCCTGCTTTCCCAAAGGCCTGTCCATCAGTTTTCCTGGAGAGGATTTCCTCTGTATAAGCCTCTGGATGTGACAAGAAGTGCTACTGCTTTGGCTACATTGGCACTGATGAATCCTCTGCAGGGCTCATCCAGCTGTACTTAGGACACACCAACACCTCAGTTTGCCTTACATATTTAAGTAGTTGTGCTGTCCCCTCTTGAGTGAAGACTGGGTAGCTGCAGACTAACACAGGAAAGAATAAATTGGGATCTATTTATTCACTGAAAGTGTTTGAAAGCCTGCAGCAATGTGTTAACTGCCTGCCCATCAGGAGCTCTGGGGAGGGAGGGAACTTGTGCTGTTTTTTACCCTATATCACATTAAATCTGGGACTATTGAGAGATTTGCTGTGGAGCCCAGGAGGTAGGCTGGGTAACAAAGAGGTTAGAGCCCTTACTTCCAGCTTCTGTTCTCTGAATTCTTTCAGCAACTGCTGAATATAAATTAGTATTTTTTTCTTGGAGTTGAGACACAAACTGAGACCAGAACCAAGTTCCTTTGGAGCTGAAAGGCTCTAAAGCTTCTTTCATTCCCATTTCACAGTTAAACCTTGATAGATTCATAGAATCAACTGGGTTGGAAAAGACCTCTGAGATCATCAAGTCCAACCCTTGATCCAACACTGCCATGGTTATTAGATCATGGCACTAAATGCCACATCCAGTCTCATCTTAAAACCCTCCAGGAACGGTGAATCCACCACCTCCCTGGGCAGCCCATTCCAATGCCTGATTACTGCCCACCCGGCGGTGTTTTTAGCCACAGGACAGACATGCTTTCCCTGCCTGCAGAAGTAGGACATGCTGCAGGGGAGTTACTCCTCCAGCAGAAGGCAGCAGCTTTCTGCTCCATACCACACATCCTGTGCCTTTTACCTAATGCCCACGGATGGTTCTGAGGATCACAGTGCTCTGTGTCAGTGACAACAGGCAGCTGCTGCAGTGACAGAGGAGGAAAGGGAATCTGTGCCCTCACTGCTACCTGCCCCTGCTGTGGACGCAGCCTTGGCTTCAAAACACTTGGCTGCTCTAAGGGAGGCTTGTAAGTTGAATTAAGTTTATAGGGTACCCAAAAAAGCTTACGTGTGCAGCTATCAAACTACACTTTACTCAAGATGCTGGTTCAAACCACCAACAACTACTCAAATGAATCAAAGCAATTTAAAATCTCAAAGTTGTGAGCCCTGATCTTTCTTAAACCACTGACTCAGAATAATTACTGGAGGAGAACCTTGCCTAGGAGCTGAGAAGTGCAGTTTGGCTGGCTTAAGAACAAAGGAGAGTCATATGCAGCAGAGGTATCATTTGTTTCATTCTCAATGTTGTCTGAAGCAGTCCTTTACAAAGCTGGATTTGCTGGTGGTTTTTCTTGCTGATGGCTTAAGCATAGGCAAGGCTGATAATTGGTACAGGATTTTTTGCTTAAGATGGCCATGTCTTGCATGTATTCATATTTCTTTCAGTGTGCCATTCACATACAGGTGTTGGACTTCAATTTCTGTCAGACATGGAGGTAGCAGGTCTCAGTGCTTCCACCAACTTTTGTCTTCAGCTTAACAAATTGCCTTCAGCCATTTCCTGCCTAGACAGCTTTTCCAGATGTTTCAGGTGCCTTTGTTAAAGAAAACTGTTTTTCTCTGCCTCTATAATTTTGTGAAAGGTGACCCCACTTTGGTCTTCAGTTTAAGCCGAATCACTCTTGCTGAGTTCTTGGATTTAGTCACTATGAAGTGTGCATATGATACCAGGCCCTGCCTTTGTAATGGTGTATCAAAAGCTGAATGTAAGAACCATAAACTTCCTTATTCATTGCAAACAAAGGTCACATTTTCCTCATGAAACTTGATGGAATGAGCACAAGTTTCTCTCTTAAGCAGTTTGCCAAAAGAGTTCACATTAACTTTTCATCTCCACTCTTCCTCATCCTGGCAGTTAATGTTGTTGTATCTTAATCTGAGCTAGCATGAAAAAACCCCAAAAGCAACTACATAAGCATTGCTGTCAAAGTACCTACAATTGTGCAGGTATCAGGTGGTAACGTGTCTTTGAGCCCTATGCTATTTCTTACTCCTTCAGTTTTGGCCTTCTTGTTCCCCTCAAAGTTCTTAATGACAGAATTTCTACACCTTTAAACGTAAAGGCTGGAGACACGTTCTTTGCAAATACACATAAGTGGATATTAAGGTTTTCCAGGCAGGTTCTTGAATGCTCAATGAAGCTATTTTGCTGGGACACCATTTCTTGCTGCATTATTACAGTTTAGTCACTGTAGCTTTTTTTAAGGTGCACAGAAAATGCAACTCTAATGCTAAACCATCACAAGTGAAACATCATTGATAACCTGAGATAGAGAAGCCTGTGCATGTCACTAAAACTTCCACTTTACCCTACAGTTGGGATCAGCTCCTGAAGACACAAAAATAAGCAGGAACCTCATACAGGAATGGGCTGTGCCTGCAGTGACTCAGTCCCAAATGTCAAATTCACAGCAACACACACATTGCCTACACGTACTGCGGCACTGAACAGAGACAGTTCCATCAATTACTCTGTTTACTCATCTATTGCACTAGTTAAGAAATTAATTTAATGTCCTATGAAGTTCCAATAATGCTAACAAAAGTAATGCAAAACCATGGATCAAATCCTCACTTCTGTTTGCTTTTTGGACTCACAACAATTTATTTGATACTAAGGGTCCTGTTGCAGTCATCCCTATTTGCCAGATTGAAAGTAAAGCAACCTATTCTCTGACTACTTGCGTATTTAATCTAAATTTGTTACATTGCATAGCTGTAGTCTCTATTTCTATCCACTATTCAGATGGAATGCTTTATTACAAGAAGCTCGTAATCCAAGTCCTATCTCCTTGAATGTTAGTGACCAAAGCCCTCCCATTCCATCCCCCATTTCCTTCCCTCCCCACTCCAAGTTATTTTTGTCAAAATTGGATTCAAAACATGAAATAGCACTGAAACTAAGAGCAGCTGTGCAAAAGCCTGCAACAGCTCTCTCAGTATAAAATTTCAGTTTCTTCTGTCTCTTCAAGTGTTTTTAATATTGTGGTGTTGGAATAAATGGATGTGGACAACAGAGAGCCCTGCTGTGATATTTGAAATTCTCTCTGTGAAGTTCATTTGATGCTTCAGAATATCCTGTGCTAACACAGAATGTGCACCTTTTTCACCCCATGTCTGTCTTGCCCCCACCTCCCCTCCAGTTGAGCATTTTGGTTGGCATTACTGGCCACACCAGGGTGACACCACCGTGACTTTATTCAGACTTCAAGCTCCTGCCACCCACTTTCCTTATTGAGGCTGAAGGTTTTGCTGTAGCAGCTCTGGCCCTCACACAAACCCCTCTACCACATCGAGAAGAAGCTGCTACAGCATCCAGCTACAGACACTGTGCAAGTGCTGCTTATCAGTGCCTTTTGGTGGGATGAGACACTGAGGGACCCAAACTTAAGTTCTGGAAGGCCCAGGTACTCCCCCCTCCCCACTGAGATCTAAAGCAAAAAAGGGTCAGTGAGCTGCACTGCATTTTAATTGCACCAATACAGTTAAATATTAAATGGAGAAACCAACTCTACATAGCAAATGGAAAACAAGCATTTACATAGTAAAGCTGTAAGATGTAGAGACTATTAAAGTTTTATTCCAGTTGTTTATACATGACTATCACACTGCAGTTTTTGGTGTTAAAATTTTAAATGTAAAACAAAATTAACATTTTCAGGTTCATATAGAATTAGCAAGTTATTGAGAAACAAAGTTTCCTCGCTCATAAGCCAACACTGATGGGGGGGCAGAGCAGGACACCCTATGTTTCTTCATACCATCACTCCATCTACTAGCATGGGTAGAAGAGAGCAACACTTTTCTGAATACACTTGATTTTCCCCATACACACTTCACAAAGGGGCATATGCTGATATCTGCCAGGATAGTTACCCAAGGGGAGTTAACACTACCAAGATAAACACTGATCAGCTGGGAAAAGAGTTCACTAGCAAAGCTGTTCTCCCACACATGATCAGTGCCAAGTGGAGAGGACATGTCACTGAAGGGCAACGGGGATCCTTCATACCCAGAGTCATTACAGGCATCCAACAAGTAGTTTGAGGCTTTAAGGCTAGGATGAGAAGAAAGCAAATGAGAAACGCCCAGTTCAGGCATGAAGCTGTCTACAGGTTCTTCCTTCACAGATGCTGGGACCTCAGGGATAGCCTTGTCTTCAGATGAAGAGAGAGATTCTTTCTCAATTTTCACTAGCATATTGGTTTGGTTGCTTGCTTCAACAGGAATCTCCAGTATTAGGGGCTTTGTATTTACATGATCAAACCTTATCAATTCATTAATGGCCTCCAGCTTAGCTGATGGGGACCCCAAAGGAGGAGAGATGAAGGTTGATATGGAATTTGTTTTTCCGAAGATCTCTTTCTCCAGGTTTTCCAGGCACGTTGACTCTGAATCAGCACATCTGAGAAACATCTCTGGGTCCAGACTGTCCAGAAAGCCCAACAGGAGATCAGGCTCAGAGTTGACACAAATCTGGAAAAGGGTACCTGAGGGCTGGCAGGCAGACTGTGTTCATAAGCATTCTCCCAAACCTCAAAACCAGGAGAATTTGTTTCCATGCACTTCTTTTATATTCCTTTTGTGGAGTTAAAAAAATGTTTGTGAATAAAAGCTGTGAACATGACCTGAGCACGTAGCTGGGAACTCCAGACATTGTTTGGGATTTAAGCTACCTAGTAGCCAGCCATGAGCAGTGGCTCTGGCTAAGTGTTTGTTACCTGAAGATAACATGCAAAATGCCAGTGAACATGCACAGATAAACTACAATATTTGCTCATCAGCTTTGACACCATGGTGTACACTTTTCTGATGTGTTGCACTGACTGTAAAGATCAACTGCACCTGCAGAATAAGTCACATTATCAGAGCAGAACAGATCACATCTGAAAAATTCTGGCCCAATAAGAGCATTTATGAGAGCTCATTTCAGTACAATTAGGTTGCTTTACTTAGCCTAGCCAGGAGGTGAGTTAGAGAACTAAGATTTCAGCTCTAGGATGGATTCCTGTTCAAAACCACCTCTCCTCTCTTTTTTGTGACAGTTACAAAGACAGCCTTTGCAACCCTTTTCTCTGCATGTTCCACTGCTCCAACAAGGATGCATCACTACTCATACCTGTACTGTGTCAGTGCCTTTACTTTCCATCCAGGGAATTCTAATCCCAAAGAGAGAACTGTGGAGCCAGAGAAATGAGAAGTTAGTCACTTTTAAGTTAACCTTTTAGACAGGGTTAAAAGGTCAAAACATTTCACTCCCTTATGCCAACGTTTTTTAAAAGAGGTATCTCGATGTTTCATGTTTGCAGCACTGGATTTATGTATATTTTTTTTCCTATTAAATGTTTTAGCTTTTTTTCATACTGACGTAGTAAAGAAGTTAGGATTTAGGAATTGGATACCCTTGTATTGTGGAAATATTTTTCTACCTCTAAGAACCCCCTCCCCAAAAGGTGACAGTCTTCTTAAAATCTTGTTCTTTTCCAGCTTTCTCAATTAAGCATGCATATTAAACATTTTTGATGTGCAGTAGTTTCTATTTAACAGCATCTCCCCACAGAATTTAATTGTCTGGTTTCAGAATCACTTCCTTTTTTTGATGTTCCCCCTTTTTTTGGCAAATTTTCATTTATATTTTTATGATATATTTCCAACAGGAAATCTATATCCTAGTGCAGATCATATACAGTAGCTCCCATGCTAAATGGTTTCACTGTGAATGCAGCAAACTTTAATAATAAAGAAGAAATTCCATCATTTGATTTACATTCATGCTTGCAACACAGGTAACAAACACTAGGACAAGCCTACCACTTTTAGGAATATTTTTCCACCAAAGGCTATGCCTTTGATGGCAATGTAGCCTCTAGCTTCTGAAGATAAGCTGTATTTAAAAGAGCCAGTACTGCATTTTATCTTTCCATTTACTAAAATATCTATTCAGCTATACCCAGTATCTTTTTGCATAGATTTTTTTTCCTGAGTAGTCACTGTGGCCTCAAAGCCCTAAATGCTCAGACTCACTTGGAGCTCACAGAAGGTAAGATGCACGGTAGAGAATAAATATGCAAACACACCTAGATAAACCACCCCTTTTACTTCCCTACCCCAAAGAAATATTTGGCTGTGCTGACAGCTAACTTCAGATCCAAAATTACTTCTTTACAATGGCCCCAGTACATGGCTTGTCCACACCTATTTTCTATTGTCTGTCATAAAAACATGGAAACAGTAGCAATAAGTTATTCTTTAGGTTATTTTTTTCCTCACCAAAATAAATATATTTTCAACCCTACCTGACTTCAGTGGTATGAAAGGAGACACTATCAACTGCCAGGTATTAAAATGTTTCTAGGGTGTATCACAGCAGCCATATATATAAATTTCTGCATCTAATTTCACTTACAAGCTAGCAGTCAAATCATGAACATGCTTTTTAAAGTAGTGAATATTCCTTGTGAGCCTTACGGAAATATCACTGTTTACATGGTGCTAGTGGACTTCAGACAGATGATCTTGCTTCTGTATGTTCTATTAATTGTGTGTGATTTTTGGCAATGCTTTGTTTTATTGTGAAGGATTCAAGGGTAGTTGCACATTACTCCCAACAAGATTTTTTTTTTTTTAATTTGTCTTAGATTAGCTACTAAAAGCAACAAAATATGATTTTAGTTATAGTTTTTGGTTTGTTGAGCAGGATAGTCAATGCAATTGTAACGGTCCTTAGAAAACCAGATGTTTTAAGGGAACAAATATTTGGACAAAGTTTTTGAGGAAGAAATACCAAATCATTTCAACTTTCTAATTAAATTTTGATGTCTAGAAGTAGTTTATTTTAGTAATGGTAAATGGGACCTGTATGTTTTAAATGTAACAAATATAATGATGAACTGAATAAATGTATACGATGAAGTAACATGATTCAATGTTCTTAAAATAAAACTTCTACAGGCATTTAAAATTAAAATTTTTCATTCTGAATCAAAGTGAACACAACAGCTATTTGAATCCAATCAACAGCTCTTTTAGGTCCATTGTCAACAGCACCATTGTAGCCCATTCTTTGCAAGAGGAACAGAGAAAGTTAGGAAATGGTTCACAGAGAAGAAAAAAAAGAAATGTCAGTCATAACTGCTAGAAAAACTAACAGACTTTGACTGTAATCTTGTTAGATTAAAATCTGAGGACAGAATCCCAACACTTATGCATTAGATTATTACTAAATGCATCTGCAGAGTCTAAGCATCTGTTGCTTTTCTAAGATTAAGATTGTGAAAGCTTTTATCTATAAATAAAGCATGGAACAATATCTTTCAATTCCTTTTCCTAGCCAGAACAAAGGAACAAAAAATAGAGAAGTATGTCTTATTGTAACTGGCTAAAAAAATACTAGGTTTAACAGCTGATACGCATTTACAATTCCATTGAATTTGTAAGACAAGTTTTATGTATTGAAAATATGACTGTTTTGAACAGCAATGTATCTACAAAAGCTGAAGTCCAAGAAAACATTTTAAAACCAAAATGTAAAGCACCGGGCCTGAGTCAATGTCTAGAAATTAGAGACTATTACCATTTTTTTCTATATTGCACAAAATGCATTCACTGGGATCAGTTTCTTTTTGCCTACAGCTTAATGCTTTGAGCATACAAAATAAATTTGGAAATATTTGTTTGCAAATACAGATAGGCATTTGCATATAAATATGCTTCCATGCATGGTAATGGCTGTGTTGTTCTCCATTAGCCAATACTGATAAGGGAATTTAATTACCTAATGCCTCAGTAATTTGGCTATAATTTTGATCCAGTGGGGAATTTAGCAAAATAGCAGCATAACATTCAGACTAATTTGCATTAGGGAAAGTTAAAACTGAAGAACAATGTTAAGGAAGTATGAGTCACCACTCTGTTTAGCACAACTAAAACAGCATGTCTGTAACATTGGAAACTGATTACATGTTGGGTTTCCATTTTCTCAAATATTAGGGGGTATTTGATGATAATATAAATGGGCAGTGAAGGCAAAAAGAAATCTTCCAGTGTGTTGTGCATCTGTGCAAAGAATGGAAAATGAGATATAGAAATTATACACTTAAAATATGGGTCTCTGCTGCAGTAATGAGACTTCATCCCAGGCAGACAGAAACTTAGGAATCATAAGGATCAGGAATCAGAAGAGAGCATGTAATAAAATTCCATCTAAGATTGATGTGTTGCCCCCTGGGAGGTTCCATTGGGTGGATTCTGACCTAATTTACCAGAAGTAAGGATTTACCATTCACTGCTAGGAAATATGCAAGATGACAATGAAGGTCACCACAGAGAGATCTGTCTAATGACTTGTTAATATCCATTTGAAACTTTGTGTTGTGCATCCAATTGCTGATCATTGTTAATTAAAAATATATTGAGAGCTAGAAAGATTCTGCAAAAGCTGATATTACATTCTGCAGAGAATCTTGCCAAATAAAACCTGGAAGTGACAGTCCATGTCATTGAGACCTGCTTCCTGCTTTTACAAACTGTTCAGAAACAATCTAGATGAGAGGGATCCACAGAACATCAGCAAAGACCACTATCCCAGACCACAAAACATTACCCACAATGTAATGAACCTAAAACCTGCAGTAAAAATCGAAAAGCAAACAGAATATTACACAAGAAAAGTACAGGAGTGAGAACATTGACAATGGTAGCATCCCGCAATAAGAAAATTTGTTATGGGACTGTCTATAACATGTACGGGGCAAAGAATGGCATAATAATGGTCATAATAATAATTTGCCTTAATAATGGTCAATCGAATAAACAAAACCAGTCGGGAATTTAATAATTGCCAAAGATTAAGTCCACAATTATAATTCTGCCATCATATGCATCTGTCTAGCTAATAGCTCCAACTATTTGGACATCCATGAATTTTGGTAAGAAATGAAGTTTCAGTGTATCTAAGTAACCTACTTCAGCCCAGCATGCATGGCTCTGTCAAGCATAAGGTCTAATTCATATTGGGGAAGTACATATGCTGGGTTCCCTAAAAATGACTTCACCTTGACTTTTCCTTTTAATTCCACCACACAAGTTAGCTGTTGTATGATGTTTTTCATACTGGGCTGCTCCTGGTAACTCTGGGAAACACTTTGTAAGATGACGATCATCTATCTACATAAACATGACCATAAATCAAATTAATTTCCCTTCAATTGAGGTTCAGCATCTTTAATCTATATACCTAATATCTGTACCTATAATGAAAACAGTTGCATGTGTATACAGCTAAATGTCTCAAAACAGTTATTTGTATCCCCCAAACTCTAGAACTGCAATTTCTACAGCTTGTAAGAATCTACTTTGGAAGTGATCTTCCTTACTGTTCTTTGTACACAGACAGTGGATACTATGCATCTCTTCTGTTTTGAATTCCTTGTGTTAACAGTACTGGGAAAAAAACAAACCTTCAGCTAAAAGCACTGAAACAAAAAAACAAACTTTTCATTTGGAGAAACCATAGGAGGCAGGGAAGACAGTAGATTTGATCCTATATAGTACTACATTGCTAAATACATAAGTAAATACTGAATAGGTTTATTGAAATTCCTTGAGATTTTGAGACTTGAAACTATTAGTCACTGCTTCATTATGGCTAATAGTTGAAATACAAATAGATTGATAAAAAATAATCCAGAATACTTTTTAAACATTTTTTCAATGGGTTGTTTAGCAACTGAACTAATAACAGAATGATGAGAAATATTATATTTTAGGTACTTTAATTATAAGAATTTTAGAAGTGCATTAGAGCACCTTTTCTGTGTGACAGTAAAATCATTTGAAAAGCATAGGGTTGCTATTTGTACTATACCCCCATTCCTCTGTCTCACTCCCCAAGCCCCCCCCCCCGCCCCTCAAAGAAAGCTGTTTACAACAGGAAATGTGACATTTTATTAGATTTTGAGAAGTGTGCATTGAAGTATCAGGTTAGCAGTTGCACTTGCTCATGAAGCAGTCAAATTTGTCAGTTTTTTGTCCTCTCAAAGAACACCACTAGATGCCAGCAGTAACTTTCTGCAAAATACAAATGAACCAGTTGGTTTCAAATTAGAAATCGGTACATACTCATAAAGGAGCTCATGAAGTCCAAAGGTC